CCCCTCCCCCTTTTCTGATGAAGGGTCTAGGCCCGAAACGTCAGCCTCTCTGCTCCTATGATGCTGCTTGGCCTGCTGTGTTCATCCAGCCCTGCACCTTGTTGTCAAGTATTGGACTCCCCACTTTGGCATGGAGTCAGATGCAATATTCAACCCATTTGCACCTCCAGTTTAAAATTCTCCCCCTTGTGTTTAGATCAATTAATAGGTTTGTCCCTCTCTATCACTCCTATCTCATCCAACCCAACAACTTTCCAAAAGCTATGGCTGGGATCTTTGGAAGAAGGCAATTGTTATCGGATTGCCACTCCAGTCAGAAATTCCTCTGACTCGACACTGCACCATAATTCTTCTGGGCTTTTCCAGGTCTGGCTGTTCCAGAAATACGGAGTGCTTTGTCTTTCAGAGAACTCTGAGGGGGACCAGAAGTAGGGGAAACATATGGACCCTCTCCACGTGCTCACCAGCACCATCTGTTTCCCCACCCCACCCCAATATGGCACTAGCTGTTGTGTGGTAAGTATAAATGCCCGGTCTTTGAATGTGAATGAATAGTAAGTGTATGAATGAATGGATGGATGGTGAGCTAAGTACATAGGTTGGCTGTGGGGCAGCCTGCTTTGATTGGATGGGTAGTCAGGTTCCTTGGTTCGAGTTGGGCTGTAGTTAAGCTGGTGAAGTGAGGTCATGGTTAGGGCAGAGTAGTTTGCTGTGGTTGGGGTTTGCAGTTGGGTTACATCTGTGGGAAATGGTAAAGTCAGTGAGGAGGGAGGATGTGTATTTGTTTGAGCCTTGAGAAGTGCAGTTGGGCCAAGGGGTAGTTGGATGCTCAGGGACTAGTTGGATTTGGTCATTAGATTGGTCAGGTGGTGGTGGTTAGTCCTGTTGGGTCAGGTTGCTGAGTCATGAGAGTGGAATGGGACTGTGTTCTGGTCATGTTGACTCTGTTGTTGAGTCGGGCATGGTGAAAGTGTAGTAGGTTCTGGTCAATGGGATAGTCAGGTGGGGCAGGGTCTTGGTTGTGTTGTTGGAGCGGGTGGTGTAGGGGTGTTAATGGTCACGGAGCTGTGTCTGGGATGGGGGAGTTGTCAGGTGATGTGGAGGCAGTCAGGTGGTTGAGGAAGAGTGTTCAGGTTGGGAATGTAATCTTGACATCAGGGGTAATTGGGTGGTCGGGGGTGCGGGGTTGGTGGCCCTTGTTGGTTGAGGTATGAGGAGATTGGGTCCAGAGGTTAGTTTGCTTTGTCTTATGTCAGATTTGTTAATCCTCCTGTCTTTTTTTTTGAGGAGTTAGTTCAGTAAGAGTGTAACTACTTCTGAGGAAGGGTCACCGGACCCGAAACGTTAACTCTGCTTTCTCCTCCACAGATGCTGCCAGACCTGCTGAGCTTTTCCAGCAACTTTGTTTTTGTTGTTGTTGTTGAGAGTGTAATTACAAATTGTTCTTCCTCTGATGAATCAAAGAAAATTAATATTTGACGTGCTTGAATTTCAAAAGATCAGCTTGTAATCTTGGGTCATATCGTAGTTCTCAACTCCTGTTTGCCCCACAATTGGCCAAGCAGCATCATAGGAGCAGGAAGGCTGACGTTTCGGGCCTAGACCCTTCATCAGAAACGTCAGCCTTCCTGCTCCTATGATGCTGCTTGGCCTGCTGTGTTCATCCAGCTCTACACCTTGTTATCTCAGATTTTCCAGCATCTGCAGTTCCTACTATCTCTGCCCCACAATTGTGTTGGCTATGAGGGAAATATGCTGCAGCGCTCTCCAGGGATCCCAATTCGCATCACTGCCATATAATGGCATGGATATGAGTATATAGAGCATGTTCAAAAATAACACCAACATTTGGAAGGTAGTAAACGCTGAGACGTGTAACAACAGGAGTGACACAGACTGATTAAACAAGCAGACACGTGACGGATGCAATCTAAAGCAGTGAAGTGTGAAATGATAAAATTTGATGAGAAGAATGAGAAACTGCAATTTTTTTTTTAAAAAAAATCTAATTTTGAAGAGGATTCAGAGACAGATCTCTGGGTGTGAATATGGAAGCCTCGGTACGCAGCAAAAAAAACCCTTTTTTTTTTTGGGGAAAAAAAAACAAAATTCTTGTCTTTACAGACAGAAGCTTTGGGCGAAGTTTCCGCTCCCAAAGATCTGTGCCTTGAGGTTTAAATATGTCTATTCTCATCGTCAGCATAACATCTTTTCCCACCATTGAACCCCCAATACCTCCGCACATTCAGGTCCCACTGCCCCTAATGTCATGAGCTCTTGGTTAGCCTAATAGACATGTCTGCTATCAGGCTCACCACCATTTTCTCAAGGGTACATGAGGATTGGGTGATAAATTTTGGCCTTGCCATTGACTTTCACATTCCAATGACAAATATAATCAAATGCTTTTGTCCTGAGGCTTTCTGCTCGAAAGGCCACTTGCCAGCAGATCAGATTGTCTTGGTGCAGGGACTCCAGAGAGATTAAAAATTCCGTTGCTCCATAATTTAAATTCTGCACAACATTCGGGGAGCCCACTTCACAATAGCTCTGTCCCACTCCTCCAGTATGCATAAATAATTTACTGCCAGTTAGAAATTCATGCTATGGCGTGGAGGTTTTGCTAAGCTAAAGACTGGGGTTGTTCACCCTGGAGCAGGGAAGCTGATCAAAATCATGAAGGGCTTACGTAGAATACATAAGGGAAAAGGGATCCATTGGGTAACCAGTATTGACTCGAGTCACGTGTAAGCCAGACCAAGCAATGATGACTAGGCAGATTTCTTCCTCACAGGACATTAGTGAACCTGATGTCAATTTAAGACCATTGACAATGGTTACCATTAGGCCAGCTTTTAATCACAGATTTCTATTAAATTTGAATTTTGCAATTTACCATGGTGGAATTTGAATCCATATTCACAGAAGATTAGACTGGGGCTCTGGATGACCAGTCCAGTGACATTGCTGCATCACCATTTCCCCATATGAGCAAACATGTTACGTGCAAATTGGTTGTTATGATCTGCAAAACACTGTCCCAAGTGTTCTGAGCAAGGGTCACTGGACCTGAAACATTAACTCTGATTTTTTTCTTCCCAGATGCTGCCAGACCTGCTAAGCTTTTCCAGCAACTTTGTTTCTGTTCCTGATTTACAGCATCTGCAGTTATTTCGGTTTTTACTATCACAAGTGTGTTGAGTGGATAAAATAGTGCATTTCCTAAAGAAATGGGAGTGAATACTTGAACAATTTTCAGGGCTTCGGGTTGAACTAGGGCTAGGCTGGAATTAATTGATAACTGTTTGAAAGCTGGCAAAATACTTTGTACCGTTCTATTTTGTGCTTTAGTGTTCAACAGTTGCAGTGAGAAGATGGATGTGGTGGGCATTAAACAGGTTTAGATGCAAATGATTTGTGTAGATTTAAGATTAATTGTTTTAACTGGGTAGCGTGAATCCACCTCAGCAAAGAATAATACCAGTTTCAGTACAAAAAGAACAATGCTGTGATGTAACAACGAATATAATATGGGGAAGGGTAGGGGAAGACAGTGATTGCTTTTGTGGGGGAAGGCCAAAGGTTAATGTTGACACATTGACACACCTGTCTGCTGTGGGATGATTCACTGTCCATTCCCAGATCTTTCTATTTTTATTTAGATGAAAATTAGTCTTTTAATTACAAATTCTGATCTTTAGTAATTAATCAAAATTCATCAAAAAAGTGTATCCAAGTAAAAATGGAGTATATAATCTTGATTGCAGTAAAACCATGCAATCTATGGGTGGACTGCAATTTTCTTGAACAAATTAACTGAGATGGGTAACAATGTAATTTTTTTGTATAATGTCAGAATGCTAATTTTCATATAGAATCATTTGTAAAATTGCATTAAAAGATCTCATTACTCAAGACTTTTAATTCCATTTTAAGCATGCAGACTAATTAATATGACTTTATTTTCGAGCAGTAAATTCTTACCTTGATGAAGTAATGACTGCAGCATAACAACTTTATCTTCCAGAATGGAACAACAGTTTACACTGCTAACCCATTCGTCTGTAATTATAAGTAACTGGAATTATGTTGTTTTTCAGGCAGTGCAGAAGACTATTTTTATGCCACACAGGGCGGTAACACAGAAATAGACGGAGTTAATGATGCTGAGGATTTTGAGAAGACATGGAATGCTTTCACATTACTTGGTGAGGTCAAAAGTTTCGGATTTCAAAAGATAAATTTAATTCCATTATGTATTTAGGGGTCTTGCATTCTCTATAACGTTAAAGTGGTGTCACTTTGAAAGTGTGTGTTGAAGGTTGGTACATAACAACTGATCCTGGTATTCTTAGGCTGACAAGAAAATATCTGGTAGAATTTCCACTCACAATTGCTGTCATGGGAGTCCTGTTCATGTCAGACAAGGCTTGCATTGACTCCATAATGGCTACTTAAGTGAGGATTTCTGGTATCCAGGAACCAGACAAATGAGAATAGGACCATCTTCCCTTAACATTCAATTACATTATCTTGTGAAATGCCCCAATCTCAACATCCTGGCATTACTATTGACCAGAAACTGAACCAAACTAGGTGTGTAAATATGTGTGGGTACTAGACCTAGTCAGAGGCTGAGAATTCTGTAGTGAGTAACTCCTCTCCTATCCCAAAGCCTGTTCACAATCATCTAGCTATAAGTCAGGATCGACGGTCAGTCCCATTTGGCCTACTCCTGCTCCTTAGTCAGGTGTTCTTAAGTAAGACAGGAGTGTGATTGAATACTTGTTTCCCTGGATTGGTGCAGCTCCAACAACGCTTGAAGCTTGAACCATCCAGGACGTAGCACACCACTTAATCAGCACGCCATCTACCATCTTCAAAACTGCTCCACAGCGTCAGCAGTGTGTACCATTTAAAAGATGTAACTCACCCCAACAACTCTGACATCATCTTCCAAATTCATGGCATCAGTTGCATGGAAACACCACTGTCTGCAACCTCTCTTCCAAGCCATACATCATCTGGATTTTGAAGGAAGTCACAGTTCATTCATTGTTGCTGGGTCAAAATCTTGGCACTCACTTTCTAACAGCACTGTAGTTGTACTGAGACCAGGACTGCAGCAGCTCAACAGGCAGCTCACCACTACCAACTTCAGTGAAATTAGGAATGGGCAATAAAAATGCTGGCTCAGCCAGTGGCACCCACATCCCATTTTTAAAAAAAAATTAAAAATTAATAACAATTTATTTCCCCCTTCCTCTTCTTATTAAGTTGCTTTTTCTAAGTTATAAGATTTGTCTCTTGTAGTTGCGTTCAAACATCTGTATGCATTTGGAATTGCCTGTGAAAATATCACTTATGAACAAAGTGGCCACCATTTTTGACTTTTGGTTTGACTTTAGTTGTAGCAGAAATGAAATAACACTGTTGTTCCTGATCTTTGTATACATCAGAGTGGAGCTGGCAATGATGCATTTCTTTTCTTCAGGTGTAAAGGATGCACACCAGATGAACATTTACAGAGTAATTGCTTCAATTCTGCACCTGGGAAATGTCGAAATAGTGTCAGAAAGAGATGTCGACACTTGTGGTATTGCTGTAAGTCTCATGTAGAGCATTTACTCTAAATAAAACCCACTCCATAAATTTGGTTCGTGGCTGTGCAACAGACATTAATATTTCACGTGTGTAAATCTAACAGTGAACAGTAAGGCTTTGTGGCATAGTTGTGATCTACTCTCATGAGCAAATGTGCAATGAGACCAAGCTTCACTCATTTATATCCAAAGCCTGAACTTTGACATTTAGTTCAGTGCTTGTAAAAGTTTTTCCCATTGTCGCATTGTTTTGGAGATGTATGCAAAAGGGGAAGAGGGAGTGAATGTGTGGAGTACAATGGTGGGTTCTGTTGACTTTTCTGGGTTTTAAAGTAATGAGCACCTACCTTTACACTGGGATGAAGGTGCTTCGTATGTGGGATGAACTGCCTGAGGAAGTGGTAGATGCTGATACAGTTACAACATTTAAAAAACATTTGGACAGCTACATGAGTAGCAAACATTTAGAGGATATGGGCCAAACACACACAAGTGGGACTAGTTTAATGTGGGGAAACCTGGTCGGAATGGACTGAAGGATCTGTTTCTGTGCTGTATGACTCTCTGACAGGAATCAAGCCCCAAAGGTCATGATCATTACCAAAAATATGCAAGGATATGAAGGGGTCATGTGGCTTTTAACATTCAGTCAGAGCTCTACATCAGCCATTGCTGCCTCTGTGTCTCAAAACCTTTGGCTTGGAACTCAACATGTTGGGAAGCCTTTCATTAGGTTATAGCTTTAAATTGTCTCCTTGCTGTGTGCCTTTTTCTTTTATAATGCAGGGTAAATTTACCAAAATGCAAGTATGCAATGGCTGCCTCAGCCTATTTAAATGCAGCCAGTGGTTGAGAAATATCCAACTATGTGGCTAATTAGTTCTTTTAACCTGAAACCCCCTACTAAGTATGATCATGTTTGATGTTTCAATAGTTTGATGTATAAAGCCTTTGCAACATGGAAATATAACACATTGTTAAATTGCAAGTTGACTCTTCACTGCATGGATATTATGCGATGTTGTGAAAGAGTCTTAAGTTTGTCTGAGTGCAGTGGAAATGCTTATCACTTGCCTTCCCTATCAAGCTTGTTGTTGATACTCCCTGTCTTTGTCCGTGATAACTTGGATTCGGTACAAATAACCAAAAACATCTCTTAAAAATGTCGTGTCATCAGTCACAGCATTATGAAAAGACAAGTTGAAATGAAATTAATTGGTCTTGCTAACTTCCCTGTGGGTTCCTGTCAAGTATCTACCCTTGAAATGAACCTTGTTTTGAACATTATCTCTCAAAGTACATCACCCAGGGGAAAGAAAGTAGCTTTTGAAATGTGAACGATTTAGCTATATGCATATTTGCAGTCGAGACAGCAATTCTGCAGAGCACCTTTACTAGACAAATGGTGACCTCACATCATGGTGCTTGTCTTTGCACCTTTGCCACGCCTGGACAACAAGCCATTTCTAAAGGAACCTATAAAATTCAGCTTAACTGTGATCTGTTTGGTGAATACCTTTTTTTTTCATTTACCACCTCAAGTAGGTATTATTTGTGCAACATTGTTGATAGGGATCTTTTGAGATTGACATAAGTCATTTAATCAGCATTATTTTTCAAACTGCTCTCTTTTTGTTCTTCCACTCCACTCCTTTGTAGATTAAAATTGCACTTTGAGGTGAGTTTGGAATATTAAACAGGCTGTGTCTTTTTGAATAAGAATACATTAGGATGTACATCTCTGAACTGTATAACTGGCCTGAAGGCAAATGATGCTGAATTTCCATTTTGGTTTTAGTTCAAAATTATTTGTGAGAAAATTTGTGATCAAAGATTTAACCTAGGAATAATGGTGCATAGATCTTAATTATTTTTTTAAATCTTTGCATTTGATGAAAACTCTGTACCTTTGTTCCAGCATATAGCTCTCCTCAGTTATTTACAGCGAACTTGATGAATATTTCTTGAAAATTGCCTAACCATAGTGGTAAAATAAATATACAAAAGAATATTTGTACTAAATGTAGCAATGTGTTTGTAAAGAGTTTTAAAAAAAAAACACTGAGGATGACTTGATATGCAAGATACATTTTTGCACACAAAATTATTAGGGAGTAAGAACAGGAAAGAATCACAGAATTGTTACAGCATAGAAAAAGCCCATTCAGCCCATCTGGTCTGCACCAGCTTTCCATCTGAGCATCTAACCCAGTGCCGGTTTCCTGCTTTCTTCCCCACACTCTGCACGTTCATCCTTTTTCAAAATGTAGTTCATAGCCAACGGAAAAATGTTGGAGAGTATGTGTGAGCAGAGTGAATTATGGATTCAGATAATTCCTTGAATGTCTGAGTGAACCATGCAAATATAAACATTTACAGAACAATCCTTTTCATAAATAATGCTCGTCTCTGCACTAGATGCATTCAAAACTAAACTTATTGCTCCAGTTTGACCTTGTATAGTTCAGTATCTGGTTCTATTTCAAACAACAATGCAGTTTTCCTCTACAATTGCCTTGGTCTTGACTGCATTCTGTGCTCTCCATTTGTGGTCTTGCCTGGGGGAGGCAATGGACTCGTGGTAATATCACTAGACTATTAATCCAGAAACTCGGCTAATGTTCTGGGGGACCTGGGTTCGAATGCTGCCACGGCAGATGGTAGAATTAGAATTCAGTAAAAGAAAATCTGGAGTTGAGAATTTGCTGATGACCACAAAATCATTGCTGATTGTCAGGAAAAACCCATCTGGCTCACTAATGTTCTTCAGGGAAGGACATTTGCCATTCTCACCTGGTCTGGCCTACGTGTGACTCCAGAGCTATAGCAATAGGCTTGATTCTCAACTGCCCTCTGAAATGTCAGTCAGTTCAAGGGCAGCTAGGGACAGGCAATAAATGTCAGCAATGCCCATGTCTACAAGTGAATTAAAAAAAACTTGTATGCTTGGCTTTGATATCCCCGTGCTAAATTTGTTCAGTATCCTCAATGAGCATGATCAGATGAAGAAACTTTGAAAAGTACTGAAATGTAGATCTCAAGAATCATAGACCTTTTAAGAACGGGGGGGAGAAAATAACAACTTAGAGAAAATTGGTGTGCTTTTAAACAGTACAATAGCACCTTGTGGTTTTCTACTGACTAGCTAGAGACATTTTAGTGTTTTCCCTTATTGAGCTGCTTACTGAGACTGATTCAATAACTTAGAGTTGCCACTAGAATCAATAGGCAGTGTCATTAAAGGCACAGTTGATACACATATATTGCAGCAATAACCTGTTAACAATTTCACTTCTTGTATCTGTTTGGTGGGGGGAGGTGCATGATAATAGATGTAGGGTGCTGCTTTGTGCAGTGATCTTTGTTTTTTATTTGTGGGACGTGGGCATTGCTGGCTGGCCAGCATTTATTGCTGTCCCTAGTTGCCCTTGAGCTGCCGCCTTAAACTGCTACAGTCCACCTGCTGTGGGTTGACCTACAGTGCCATTAGGGAGGGAATTCCAGGATTTTGATCGTGACAGTGAAGGAACGGCGATATATTTCCAAGTTAGGATGGTCAGTGGCTTTGAGGGGAACTTGGAGGTGGTGGTGTCCCAATTTATTTTTTGCCCTTCTAGATGGAAGTGGTCATGAGTTTGGAAGGTGCTGTCTGAGGAACTTTGGTGAATATCTGCAGCGTGTTTCATGGATGGTATGCACTGCTGCTACTGAGAGCTGGTGGTGGAGGGAGTGGATGCTTGTGGGTGTATTCCAATCAAGCGGGCTGCTTTGTCCTGGATGCTGTCGAGCTTCTTGAGTATCGTTTGGGGCTGCACCTATCCAGGAGAGTGGGGAGTATTCCATCCCATTCCTGACTTCCACCTTTGTAGATGGTGGACAGGCTTTGAGGAGTCAGGAGGTGAGTTACTTGTCACCAGTATTCCTAGCTTCTGACTTGCTCTTGTAGCCACTGTTTTTGCGTGGTGAGTCCAGTTGAGTTTTTGGCTAATGATAACCCCCCAGGATGTTGATGGTGGAGGATTTAGTAATGGTAACACTGTTGAATGCCAAGGGGTGGAGGTTAGATTGGTGATGATCATAGCCTGGCATTTGTGTGGTGCGAATGTCACTTGCCACTTGTCAACCCAAGCCTGGGTATTGTCCAGATCTTGTTGCATGTAAATGTGGATTGCTCCGGTCTCTGAGTATTCATGAATGGTGCTGAACATTGTGCAATTGTCAGCAAACATCCCTGCTTCGGACCTTGTGATGGAGGGAAGGTCGTTGATGAAGCAGCTGAAGATGGTTGGGCCGAGGACACTACCCTAAGCAACACCTGCAGAGATGTCCTGGAGCTGAGATGACTGACCTCCAACAACCACAACCATCTTCCTGTGTGCCAGGTGTAACTTCAACTACTGGAGAGTTTGTCCTCAACACCCATTGATTCCCGTTTTGCTAGGGATCTAGTGACTGTCAAGTAGAATGTCAAATTATTTTTTAGAGCCTGAAATTTGGTGTGACTGTTCCCTCCCAAAAAAACATTTGCTTTTCTTCCCTTCGCTTCTCCTTTCTTATTTATTCACAGGATATGGGCATTGTTTGCAAGGTCAGCATTTCTTGAAATTGATTTCTTTTAATTTCCTTGAAGGAGGTGGGAGGCCATTTTCTTGAATACAATCAAATGGCTTCCTATACCTTATGAATCAGCCATTATTTTCAGACGGTTACTGTTTTCTTTGTTTTTATGGAATGCAAGCATCAAAGCCAAGGACAGTACTTATTACCTTTCCCTAATTGCCCTTGAACTGAGTGACTTTCACAGCCATTTCAGAGGGCAGTTAAGTGTCTGCTACATTGCTGTGGGTCTGTGTTCACATGCAGCCAGTTGTAAGGATGGCAGATTCCCTTCCCGAAAAGGCATTAATAATATAAAGTACAATGAGTGACAACATTCAATGATTGATAGGATGACAAAACTGCAAGACGAGCTTTCAATTTCAGATTTTATTAATCGAATTCAAATTCCATAAGCTACTGCAGTAGGATTTAAAGTTGTGTTCTCCGAGCAATAGACTAGGCCTTTGGAATACAAGTTCAGCAACATTACCACTACACCATTATGTCTCGATATATTTCCAACATCAAGGCTAGACAGGATAAGGATAGCAGATTTCCTGAATGAACCAGTTGGTTTGTGATCACCATTATTGATGAGAGCATTTAATTCAAGGCTTATTTAATTAACTTGACTTTAAATTTCTTATTTGCTGTGGTGGGATTTGTATATTAGTAGATTTAATGTTTAGATCATTAGTTCAAGCCAATTTCAGACCAGTCCAGCAATCTAACTATGCTGCTGATACCCAGTATCTCACTAAGTCGTTGTACCTCATACTGGATTGCAGTAATGCTGCTGTTGGTTTCCTATAAATGACCCTTGCGCACCGAGTCAATTTTTAATAATTTTATTAACCAGCTAAAGTATTTTGATTTGAATCTTATTTAACATTCAAAATCACTCATTTAAAGCAGAGCATCAGCAAACTATGAGCCCTTAAGTGCCAGATGATCATTCATTACCCAAGTTTACATAATGAAGACTTGCCATGGGATAGCGGAGACCTACTGATGGTAATGGAACTATATTTTAACTTATGACTAATGTGGTTTTGCCTTCAGTGGGGGCTAGGATTTTTTAAATCATCCACTGGATGAGCAGATTGCTGACTGGGCCAGCATTTATTACTCATCTCAATTGCCCTTTAGAAAGTGATGGTCAGCTGCCTTCCTGACCACTGCAGTCTGTTTGGTGTAGGCAGATCCGCTGATGAGAAAGATCAAGGAATAAAAATAGAGAAGCGTTCTTTCCTGCAACAGCAGCCCCTGTCCAGTGAAGCCACAACCACCATACTCAACTTAATCAGAGGTTAAGCCTTTATAGATGTTAACAAAATCTCTGCTGAAATCTTACTCGGACTAATTCAATACTGCTAACATAAATTGTAGCATGTTCATTCAGTACAGTCAGGTTCTACGCATGTCTTTATTTGAAAAGATTCTACTTGGATCAGGATTTTAATCAATACCACAAAGTATAATTTGTTGGTGAACCTGTGCCTAGCCTCCTTATTCACAGAGCAATCCAATTTGTATAAGCAGCAGCAAGCATTTTATATATGTTGCACAGGATTTAGCTGTAGCTCAGTTATATCCAGCTTTGGATTGTGGCATTGTACAGGGAAAACCTAATTGCAAGTACTTTACATGAGAATTTTTAAAGCTATTTACATGCTCTCCTTGTGATCAGAAGTAAATTGCTGCTGTATTGATATTCTATATTCAGTATTTATCTAGACTTTTCACACAATTATCTTCAAATGCGACTTTTCTATTTATCAAACAGCTTAGAGAGCTTCTCATTTGAAAATGATGTTGGCGTCACAGGTTTGCTGTTTGACTACAGTTAAATTCAGAGCCAGATTCCCTCTGCTGTGCTCAAGCAAAGGCTCACTGCACCTTTTAGAGGCCTATTTCTGCTCCAGTATGGCATTTCTCCATTTGACACCCCAACAACTCTGTAGCTTCCCTGCACCATTTTGTTAATTACTATTGTGGCTCTTCATCTTTAATGTGGAGAGTGCTGGTCCAATATATTGGCCCTCTGAATGGGCTTGCATCCTCTGGAGATTACCTCCAAGTTGGCCATCTTCTGGAAGATTACATTGGTGGGCGCACCACCAGTTTCTGGGGTTGGGTGGGGTTGTTGCCCATTGTCAGTTGTCAGTTTCAGGGTCCTGACAAAATTCAGTTGAGTTTAACTTGTAAATATAGTTTAAATTGGGGTGCCAGGAACTTGGTTGAAGCTGCTTTGGCTTGTTTCCCACAAATGGAAGTGATAATTTCTAAGATGATTTTTATTATGTGAAATTGATCATGATTTCAGATCACCATTCTGTGACTCTGCTTGGTGTGTGCGTGCGTGTGCGCGCGCAAAGAGTAAACCTGAATGAGGTTCAGCTTTTTTTATACTCCACTATGTTTGAAGAGTTTGTTATCAGGGCTTTCACATTAATGTTAACTACTTGGACAAAATAAAAACTAGTTCAAGAGGGGTGTGCAGCTGCTGTTTGCCCAATTGCACTTTGCAATCCATAAGAGCGGAAGTATCACAAGTTTTATTTCCTTTCCAATTTTCCCCACTCCCCATAAAATTTTGTCACCTTTTTAAGATAAGGATCTCTTGGGATTGGGGTACTTTGTCTAAATAAAATAAAAGCATCGATGGTGAGTAGTTTGGTGGATATCTGTGCATATTGTGGCATCCTGATCTTTTCTGTGTGTGTGTGTGTGTGTGTGTGTGTGTGTATGAGATTAAGAGTAGATTTCACGCCAGTTCTGGGCCCCACACAGTGAGCAGGAAATCAGGCAGGATGCAAAATAGCCAAACAATCCACTACAGAAATCCATTCTATGCATCGGCTGAAATATCCAACTTCAACCTATTGTTCCATTTTATTTTAGTTACCTATAGGTCACACAGACCACAGGCATCACTCTCATTAGAAAGAGGGACAATTGTTTGTACAGTAATTGGCTCGAGGAGCGCCACTCCACTGGGGCTAAATGAGACAGGCCTCCTTAAACTGCCAGACCCGGTACAGTGAATGAACCCATGCCATGATATCATTCAGTATGAAACTAACCAAATAAAGATCTGAGCTTTACTTAGTAACCACCTGATATGCAAACACTATTTTACTGAGTTGAGGGGTTTGGATAAGTTGGATGGATGGAAAGCAATTGTGTTATGTTTCCAATGCATTACTTGTTAATTTATCTGCTTTCAGAGAAACGATGAGCACTTGAACTATTTCTGTGATTTGCTGGGAATAGAGCACGATCAAACGGAGCACTGGCTGTGTCACCGCAAGCTTGTCACGACCTCGGAGACTTATGTCAAAACTATGTCCAAGCAGCATGCCATCAATGCCAGAAATGCCCTGGCCAAGCATATCTACGCCCAACTCTTCAACTGGATTGTGGATCACATCAATAAAGCGCTGTACACAACCAGCAAACAGCACTCGTTCATTGGAGTATTGGATATTTACGGGTACAAAATGGAGTGTGGTTAACACAACATTGAACAACGTATAGCTATAGCTGCATTTTTCAAACTGTGACCCTTAGTACCGTTTGATCAATTGATCTAGTAAGCGACAAATGTGGCAAGACACTTTTTTTTAAGAGAAAAGAAACTGTTGATCACATTATTGATACATATCAAAGTGAGGGACACTAGATTAGGAATGGAATACGTCCCCATTTAGGGTATTCATTCAAACGCTCCAAGGTAAAGGTATAGAATGGTTAGTTGCCGAAGTTGCTTTGCTCTTGGTGTGCTCAGGCCCAGCTTCAGAGAACAACACCTGCTGCACCTGGCCACAATTATCAGTTCTCACAATAGCCGCATGGAATAACACTTTGAATTTGGTTCCAGTTTTCTGCTTCAAGTCTTTTGACCATTAAAACCAGATTGAGATTGTTGAAAGCCCACTTCATGTAGGTTATTTAAACAGAGGAACTTTCATCCCATCAGTTGTAACCATTCACACCTCAAATTCCTGGGACTGAGAGGACTGTCTAGCTATGACATTATGTCAGCATAATTATCTTCCTTCCTGTCATTGTCAAGAGTCAGTTAAATAGTCATACTTGCCAAGTGCTCATTTACAGCAAACAGCATTGAGGACTTGCCTGATTTTGTTTACTAACATATTTATTGTGACATGCTGAGGTACCTAGGGCCGATTGACAGACACTGAGACATATTTGGAGATCTGACTGGTGTCAGTGCATATGATATATGAAACTCTGGGCATTCCTGGTGTGTAGGCTTAATAATAGTGAGTTGGAGCATTGTCTGCCCAAAACATTTGATTTTTGTTAGCTGAAGCAGGCTTGAAGGCAGGAGGTTAAAACCTCGTGTGTCTCAGTATCTTCCTGTGATAACACCCTGAGATTTGGTATTGATTTTGTGGGCAATCAAAGCCTCAACACTAGCTTCAGTGGCTTCTTTTAGCACACCATGTTGGAACTCCAAATTGCAATTTTGAATGATGACTGTTTGTTTATCAAAGTGTTTGCTTTCAGCATGCTAGAGCTATTAACATTGACCTAAACTGTGCTTAAAATGATGGTCACATTGTCCAGCATCTTTGGGCATGAAAGAGATCTCCCATCTATTATGGATTACCACAAATTATTGACCTTTTTATACCATTCTATCATGTGAAAATGGCTTTTCATACCATTAAAGCTGCATAACTTAGATCTGAAGTTAGTGCATTTGCAAACTAATTATAGATGAATTTGCAATGGGAAGTTAAATTTATTAATGAATAACACAGGAACCCTTTTAACAAAGTAATAATTGTTGATGAATACCAGTAAAGCTCTCTGGGACAGAATGTGAACAATTGAAGTCTTCATTCCTATATTTGATGAATTGTTATTGGAGACATTTTTAGAATGTCAATTTTTAAAGTTTTAATTAAAAAACATGCTTTTTCATTTGTCTCTTTTTTTCTTTTTCTTTCTCCCAATCTGATCTTTCTTTCCTCCTCTTCACTTGTGGTGCCTATTTGATGTCGAATTCATCCACTTTATTTATCTTCCTTCTCAGTCCTTCTGTTTATTTCTCATTGGTAAAAAGATAGTATATTGGTCTCATTGTTTTTAAAAGTTGAAGATGCACTCTTGCCTTTGCACTGTTACTTCGAGAAACTTTGTGGGCAAAATATTTTAAAGCTGGGGAGTGCAGGAACAAATCCAATTTGCAGAATGCCCCTCTCCAGCAATTATTGTTCTATTTACACTCTGGTCCTGTCATGTTCCTACTAAAACTTGTCTGATTATTTGTGCAGGAAAATAATGTCTTATTCCCCCTCTGTATTACAGGTTTGAAACATTTGAAATTAATAGTTTTGAACAGTTTTGCATCAATTATGCCAATGAAAAATTGCAGCAGCAATTTAACCTGGTGAGATTGCTGAACTACATTTTACTTGCTTATGCTCAAACCCTTTCTTTCAATTCTAACTGCATCAAGTTTACTTGTATTTGCCTTGACTCTAACATTTCTCTTTAAACTGTTACTGAACAAACATTCTCTTTAAATGGAAATTGCCAGAATAGATAACTGTTGATGTAACCACTTTATGATAACACCGCGTGGAGCTACAGGAACACAGCAGGCCAGGCAGCATCAGAGGAACAGGAAAGTTGACGTTTCGGGTCGGGACCCTTCGTCAGCCCCCATTTCTGAAGAAGGGTTCCGACCCGAAACGTCAACTTTCCTGTTCCTCTGATGCTGCCTGGCCTGCTGTGTTCCTGTAGCTCCACGCGGTGTTATCTCTGACTCCAGCATCGGTAGTTCTTACTATCTCAGAGTGAGTTATAACCACTTTATGATGATTGTTTTCAATGTTTCTCAGCACGTCTTCAAACTGGAACAGGAGGAATATATGAAGGAGCAAATACCATGGACTCTCATTGACTTCTCTGACAACCAGCCATGCATTGATCTTATTGAGGCAAAATTGGGTATTTTAGATCTGCTGGATGAGGAATGCAAGGTAAGGGCATTGTGGGAGACTTTACTGTTGCCGAGTGTAATTTTGTTTTAGTTCAGGAACAATAATAAGGTGAATTAGTTGGGCATGAACTCAGCAACTCACTCCGAGGCCAATTTTAACAATACTATACATGCCAAAATTGCTGGTGTTGCCGTGAGACTCCTGCTTGGCTCAGCACTTTCAAACATCTTTGGATTCCACGAGAAATGTATTTTTGAAATGACACCAAACCTCCTATCTCTCGCACATTACCAATATGTAGGTGATATGTTTGCTATATTTGAATCTGCAGCTGAATATAAGTATTTCCTTTTAAACATAGAAACATAGAAACATAGAAGATTGGAGCAGGAGGAGGCCATTCGGTCCTTTGAGCCTGCTTTGGCTGATCATTCAACTCAATAGCCTAATCCTGCTTTCTCCCCATAATTGTTGATCCCATTTGCCCAAGTGCTGTATCTAGCTGCCTCTTGAATACATTCGATGTTTTGGCGTCAACTACTTCCTGTGGTAATGAATTCCACAGGCTCACCACTCTTTGGGTGAAGAAATGTCTCCTCATCTCCGTCCTGAATCATCTACCCCAAATTGTCAGACTGTGACCCCTGGTTCTGGACATATCCACTATTGGAAACATCCTCCCTGCATCTACCCTGTGCAGTCATGTTAGAATTTTAAGTCTCTACGAGATCCCCCTCATTCGTCTGAACTCTAGCAAAAACAATCCCAACCTAGTCAATCTCTCCTCATACGTCAGTCCCGCCATCCCCGGAATCAGCCTGGTAAACCTTCGCTGCACTCCCTCGAGAGCAAGAGCATCCTTCCTCAGAAAAAGGGACCAAAACTGCGCACGATATTCTAGGTGTGACCTCACCAAGGCCCTGCATAACTGCAACAACACATCCCTGCTCCTGTACTTGAAACCTCTCGCAATGAAGGTCAACATACCATTTGCCTTCCTTACTGCCTGCTGCACCTGCATGCTTACCTTCAGCGACTGGTGCACAAGGACACCCCAGATCCTACTGCACTCTCCCCTCTCCCAATTTACAGCCATTCAGGTAGTAATCTGCCTTCTTGTTTTTGCTTCCAAAGTGAATAACCTCACAATTATCCAAATTATACTGCATCTGCCATTGATTTGCCCACTCACTCAACTTGTCGAGATCATGCTGAAGGATCTGTGCATCCTCATCATAGTTCGCCATCCCACCCAACTTGGTATAATCTGCAAACTTGGAGATGTTACATTCTGTTCCCTCATCCAAATCATTAATATATATTGTGAATAGCTGGGGTCCCAGCACCGATCCCTGTGCCACCCCACTAGTTACTGCCTGCCAATTTGAAAAGGACCCATTAATTCCTACTCTTTGTTTCCTCTCTGCCAACCAGTTTTCTATTCATCTCAGTACACTTCCCCTAATCCCATGTGCTTTAATCTTACACATTAGTCTCTTATGTGGGGCTTTGTCAAACGATTTCTGAAAGTCCAATTATACCACATCGACTGGCTTCCCCTTGTCAACCCTGCTAGTTACATCTTCATAGAAATCCAACAGGTTTGTCAAGCATGATTTCCCCCTCCATAAATCCATGTTGACTCTGTCTGATCCTGCCACTGCTTTGTAAATGGTCTGCTGTAAAATCTTTGACAGTGGATTCGAGAATTTTCCCCACTACTGATGTTAGGCTCACCGGTCTATAATTCTCTCGTTTCACTCTACCTCCCTTTTTGAATATTGGGGTGACATTAGCCATTTTAATGGCTTCCACCTTGCACTCAAATTCACAATCAATTTAAATCCCGCTTCTTAATTTCCTAGTATTGTCTGTGCGAACCCACCTCCACTAGACAGTATATACATTGATTTTCCTACAGTTCCAGGTATGGTAATATTGGCTTTAGTGGCAACTTCACTAATAGGACCCAAACTATTTCATCACCTTGCAAATCCATTGCTGAAATAGGGTGTATCAAAGCCATCCTGCAGGATAATGACTACCCTGATCACTGTATATCGTACAAACCTAAGGATGTCCCTAAAGTGGTCATTCTTTGTCCTGAAAAGTACCCAAAGCCTGAGCAAATAGTAAAGACGTTTCACACTACTAATATGCAATAACCACACAAGTGGTATTCGCTGCTGACAGGATGCTGCTATCACACCAAAAAGACACTCTTCCAGTCCCCTTCCAAGCTGTTTTTGACCATCTCTTTGCACAGTCTCTTTTTTTTTTTTTTTTGCTTAAAGCAGTAGTTTCATCTTTTTCATCCAGTCAAAATAAGGAGATAAAATGATGTTGTCTTCTCACTGGGACCAAGGAAGAGGGAAAAACAGGATTGGTGTTTTTGTGGAAAGATAATTGGCTAAATTATACATGGTGCCATGGTTCCTGCAAAGCCCTCTCCTCAGCTAAGACTCTTGGTGGAGGTCCTAATGGAGGAATGACTTCCAGAGGAAGAATGGCTGATCTGCAATCATTTAGTGCTCTGTTACTGCTTACCAGGCTGGAGGAAGTATTTCAGTCCCTTTTGTACAGAAGCCAACAGCTCTCCTCCATTTCAGGCCAAGAGGTGGTGTGCGGTAAAGGATTGAAAGTAATGGAGTGTTTGGGGACTCGGGTCGGTTAATTTGGATCCCTTCGCCATCCCTCTCCCTCCCCAGCCCACCACCTTCTGAGCTGGTTGCTTGACATGGGCCCTATCTTCCTCCAACTAAATGGCTGTAGCAGTGAGGTGAAGTAATTAGCTTCCCTCTTGGGTTTCCATTGGTAATGGGTCAGCTACTCCTGCTGCTGGTGGAGGCTGGAGCTGGCAGTCTGCCCACTGGAGTTAATGTGCCTTCCACCTTCAAATCCCAGTTAGCAAAAGTGTGTTAAATCTCGCCTGCTCTATCAATAGGCTTTTTTCAATTAGGAATGGAGGGGACCAGCACGTTATCTTAGTTATAACTATCAGACCTACAAATGTACTGAAATAGTTGTGTCTGTTGTTTTACAAATAGTGCCACTACCAAGTACTCTCTTTCCTGTGAAATCTAATTACCTTCTAAGTCAAATTGATTTTGTGCCTCATTCAGATGCCAAAAGGGACAGACCAGAGCTGGGCCCAGAAGCTCTATGACCGCCATTCAAGCAGTCTGCACTTTCAGAAGCCCCGGATGTCCAACATGGCCTTTGTTGTTATACATTTTGCTGATAAGGTAAGTAACTGCGTGGTGATTATTGCACACATTGGGGTTTATATCCGTACACATCCAACAAACTTGTTCACTCTGTTTACATAGCCCTTATTAAAATGGAGGGTTAAAATGAAGAACCTAAAATGAAACCGAGAAACTGAAATCTACATTATTTCTATTTTACTTTCCAATCACAATTTAGATTCTAACAAATTCTTCACTTCAAAACTTAAACTTAATTATTCCAATAAAAACCAAAAGAACTGCGGATGCTGTAAATCAGGAACAAAAACAAAGTTGCTGGAAAAGCTCAGCGGGTCTGGCAGCAGCTGTGGAGGAGAAAACAGAGTTAACATTTCAGGTCTGGTGTTCTGAGGAAGGGTCACCGGACCCGAAACGTTAACTCTGTCAATTTCTTAACTTGGTCGAAGTTCTGTTCACCTATTATATGCTCCCTGATGTACATTGGCAAATTGGAAATCAATGTCTCACTTTCAAAATGCTAATCTGTGCCTTCAAATCCTTCCACAGCCGCCTCTTCCATCTCTGGAATTCCTCTATCCCTACAAGTATGACCTCTCTTTTTTTCCATCATTTCACTATTGGCAGCAAACCTCTGAGGGTCTAAGTTCAGAAATTCTTAGTCTGGGTCTGTCTGCTTGATCCCATTGTATCCCTTCCCTGGGCACCTCCTTACAAGTTGTCATTCTGTTTTTAGCCACCCATCTTAATTTCTTTGGTTCAGAGTCAGTGCTTACCTCCAGAAGATACATCAAAGTTGATGCCTCAGTATAAAAATAGTTTTGGTACTTAAACATGCAAGAATGGGGTTAATTTACATCATAAGGAACTTTAACTAATTCATTTAAGATCCTGAGAATTGAGAATTCCAGATAAAGCCACAAAATATGGAAGTTTTATGAACATTTTCATTCCTAAACCCCAAGGAGAATTGAGGAGAACTCAAAATATTAATCAATATTTACAACTGGCCAGTTAAATAGCACATGGCAACATATGAGCAGTTCTGTTAAGCAGATTGTAGGTTGTTCTTTTACAAATGTTGCTCAGTACCTTTTTTCTCTAAAGGGATTAATTGATGTAGCGTTGATTTTGATAGGAATGGTAGATTGGTGGAGAGGGAATTATTTTCTTAAGGCTCATTAAATTTGAGTTCACGGCTTTTGCTTCTGATGCCACATTCCAGTTTAAAAGTAGCAAAATATTGCAGATTTTGCAAATCTAACATAAAAATTAATAATGTCATCTAATTCATTTTTATAGTGCTGACACTTGGCAAACACCACAGCCTATAATCCTCCAGTCAGGGAAACAACTAGCTACTAGGACCTGCTTTCTATCCTTCAGTTAATTTTAAAATCCAATTTAAACACTGACTCTCCTACTCCTTAAATCTGTTTTCTCAATCAGCCTTTAATATGTTATATTGTCAAACATTTCCTTAGAGTCCAAACAGATCTAATCAGATCTAATCATATCTATTGCAGCCCCTCAATCAACCCTCTTTATGACTGCATCAGGTTCTCTTCATTCCTCCCCCACTCTCCCACACTCCCCTGCCCTCCAATTTGTAAACACATGTTTATTACCTTGCATCTCTTCCTTGACTTATTGTTTTACAATTAACTTTGTTAAACTGAATGTCATTGCTTTGTTATTTCTAAGCTCATTCAAGCTAGCAATCCTGTACCTCTTGCTTTCAAACTGGCAGAAATCTTGCCCTCCCGCATCTCAAGTGGCATTTGTTTCCACACAGTTCATGGGCTTTATTTCCCACTTTCTCTAGCTCTTGTTTGTACTCTTTGCCATGCCCATGCCATTGCCACTGCCCCCGAAGCTTTCCGCTGCTGTCAACATGCCCTTCTGCAACACCAAGATACCATGTCCAACATCTAGTCCGTTTTCATCTCTTAAATTTCGTCCTTTTTTCATCTGTATACATTTCCCTCACTACTTCATTTCTTGCAACCTCCTCTCATTCATTGTAATACAATTCCCCTATTTTTCTCTCCTTCAATGCAATCTATCCTTTTGCTACAACGCTGGTCCAGCCTGAGTTCATAAAGTCAGTTCTTGTGGTGGTTGCACACTGTAGACAAGAATTACTGTAGAAAATCTGCAGGTCTGGCAGCATCTATGAAGAGAAAACAGAGTTAACATTTCAAGTCCAGTGACCCTTCTTCAGTACTGATAGTAGCTAGAAACAGGTGGCACATACGTTGAAGACAGGAGGGGTGGGAAGGAGTGATTGGATAGGTAGAGATGGAGCCCAGAGGGAGAATGATAGCAGGCAAAGGGATGGATGGTACTATGTCAGGGGGGAGAAATGAGCTGGTAATGGGGACCATACATAGGTGAAGTACCAGCTTTTCTTTCTCCCTGGTATACTATCATCCAACCTTTGTCTGCCGAACTGTTGTTCTTGTGCTGTCTTGGCTCCATATCTGCTTATATGCTCACTCTTCTCGCTCTGTGTCTCCTAACCACCGCTTCACCCCCCCGCAAATTATCAAGTTCTGAAGGAAGGTCACTAGAGTGGAAACGCTAATTTTGCTTTCTGTCTACAGATGCTGTCAGACCTCCTGAGATTCTGTAACAGTCTGTTTCATATTTCCAGCATCCGCAGATCTTTACTGTTTTCTTGTTGTAAACAAGAATTGCTGCCTTTGCAAGAACGTTTGTCCGTTGTATGAAACTATTGGGATAATTGCCAATAATGATGAGTTTTGGCTATGTGTGAGTAAGCAAAGACTGGCCTGGCCCAACTTGAATTTTGTGAGAAAATGCTGACAGAGACTGCGGGTCCAAAATGCTGACAGTTAGCATGTATAAGACTGACAATTCACAGCTTTCGAGCTGTTAGCGCTTAAAGGCTTGCCTATAACTGTCAAGCTGCAAAATTGATTGAAGACAGCAAGACCGTTTGCTTTGTAGTGAGACTGCCACCTTGCAATTGCTGACAGAAACATTTTAGGCACTTGATTATGGGGGAGAAATAGAAAAATAACAAGTCTAATTCTGAAGTGGCATGTTAGAAAGCAGAGTTTACAAGAGGCTTATAAATTCTAAATTAGCTTGTGATGTGTGTGTATATTATGTACATAACAATGCTTATAATATGTACTGGTGTACACCCCTCATGTCTACAGGTATTAGATGCTAAGAAGGCCACATAAAATTTAGGTGAAAAACTTAAATTTTGTCACTGTAGGTCCAGCCGTACTATACAGTGTCTATTCCAGTGATGAGGAATATTTTTCCATTTCCCAAAATGTTTTCTTTTTCAAAAAGAAATGGACCCCTTTAATTTCAGATGTTCCAGCAACGAAACCAGTTCCAATTAGTTAAATGTTTCAGAATTTTTTTGTGTACTTAGTCACCAGTAAAAGGATTCCAACATTTTCCTGTTTGAGAGGATAACGCATGATTTTGGTTTTCCACAAGTTTCTAGCAATGGTCTCAAAGTCTAAGTGAGTGTTGATGAGCCGGTAGTAGAATTTTTTTTGAAAAATATTAGCAGATCATGGAATAACTACTGCTTAGAAAAGTACCTGCTGCTACTTCCCTACGGACTTAGTTGGAAAATGCACAACTGCTAATATGGAACTGAGCTTTAGTTATGAAGAAGGGATCGCGTTCCTGGATTACTTGAGGTGATGGTGTATATGATGGAGTAATTGTGGAAATGTATTCCCTCAGCGTTTTTAATGGATGACAGGAAAATATTTGAGGGATGTTCAGCAGGTGATGGGAAAGGCAAATGTAATGTCATTGGCCTTTGTTTCAACATAGTATATAGTAGGATGTAAGATATAATATAAAAATGCAGAGGTCTCGCTCTAAACTACACAAGGCAGTAGTTAGACCATACCTAGAGTATTGTGAACCTTTTTGGGCTTCTTCCCTAAGTAAAAATATACTAACATTGGAGGCAATCACAACATTCACTGGTTGATGCTGGGCATAAAGGGACTGTCTTATGAGGAGAGATTGAGTGGGTTGGGCCTGTGCTCCTTGGAGTTTAGAAGAATAAGAGGTGACTTTATTGAAGCATTCTTGGCGGGTCTTGACAAGGTAGATGCTGAGAGGTTATTTCCCGTTGTGGGAGAGCCTGGGATCCTTTAACGTGGAGATATGAAGGGATTTCTTCTCAGTGCAACAAATCTGTGGAATTCTTTACTGCTAAGGGCTGTAGAGTATTTGTCATTCAAAATATTCAAGACTGAGACAGATTTTTAATCAGTAAGGGAATAGAGGGTTATGGGGAAAGTGGAGCTGAGGATTGAGATCAGCCATGGTCTCATTGATTTGTGGAACAAACTTGAATGGCCTATTCCTGCACCTACCTCTTATCATGTGTGGAGGGAATTCAGCTTTCTGTTCTGCAAAGACTCCAATTTATATTTGCCCATAATGGCTGAGTGGTGACTTACGTCCAGTATTGAATGATTAATTTAACCTTTTAAGGAACATGGGCATCGTTGGGAAGGCCAACATTTGTTACCCATTCCGATTATTCTTGAACAGAGTAGCATTACTTGGTGGATCTGAAGTCAAATGTAGGCTAGACCAGGTATGGGTGGCATTAGTAACCCAAATGCATTTTTGCAACAATTAATAAAGTTTTAAGATCACCTTTTACTGAGGCTAATTTGTTTAATTCTAGATTTGTGAATTAAATTTTTAAATTCCACCAGCTGCTACTATGGAATTTGTACCCATGTTCCCACACCATTAGCCTGGGTCTATGGATTACTTTATTTTAGTGACGTTACCTCGAAGTCACTGTCTTCATGCATGTCTGTGTGAATGTTATTTGTACGCTCGCACATCAGTGTCTTTTCCCCAAGAGTCTTCCATCTCTCCCTCTTTCGTTTTTGTTTCGCAGACAGCAGCTCATTCTGGGTGCCATTACTTGGGCATTGTTAGATCTCTTTGTGTGAACCTTTTACAGTGAAAGTGACAGACTATGAAAAGCATCATGGCTGACTTCAGTTCCACCCTTGCGTTTCCATTAGAAATCAGATACAATTAACAGAACGTTTACTAACAGCTCCATTATACCTTCTTTAAAAATTCTGTCCATTATTAACTATCGCATGTTTGGGACATATTAACTCTTGGTTACACTTACATAAAGCTACTTTTAAAAGTGTGTTTCTGTAAGTTGGTATCTATTGGGTGTAGCCTCTTATATAATGCAATGGTTATTGTCTTCCACAGGTGGAGTATCAGTGTGATGGCTTCCTGGAGAAAAACCGCGACACAGTACATGAAGAACAGATCAACATACTGAAGGCCAGTAAGGTATGATGGCCCAGGTTAAAATCCACTTCCTTTTCATCTGCACTGCAGCCCAAGGCTGGTCTAGCCTTCTCGAGGTTAGGCATGCTCCCAACCAGTTCCATTGTAGTGTTCGACAACATGAATACCAGTTGGAAATTTGCACCCCCAAGAAAAACAGTGATCTGAATATAACATTTAGTTTATGAATGCTTCACATTTTAAGTGCTCAGCAAGGTGAATTAACTGCTCATACTTTAAGGCAAAGTGAATGTTTACTTAAAATAACTACATCATTTAAAAAAAAAATGTCAATCATCTTTTCTTCTTTCCTCTCCTGTAAACTTTGAATCATTTCATGGATGCCCTTCCTAAATCTGACTCAACTGATATTTTGCTAGTGTCATCCTGGACACCTGTTTCCTTCGTGTTTCTTGCTTTTCCAACATGATAGAAAAGCTTGATTCTGTTCTTCAGAGATAGCAAGAACTGCAAATGTTGGAGTCAGAGGCAACACTGTGTGGAGCTGGATGAGCACAGCAGGCCAGGCAGCATCAGAGGAGCAGGAAAGCTGATGTTTCAGGTTGGGTCCTGGGCCTCCTCCAGTGTCACAATGACATCACCTGCAAACTGGAGGAGCAACACCTCATATTCCGCCTCTGGAGCCTATAGCCTGATGGCCTAAACATGAAATTCACCAGTTTTAAAATCTCCCCACCCTCAGCCTCTTCCCATGTCCAACCCTCCCTCTCATCCCCGCCTCCATGACTTGACACAACCTGTCCATCTTCTCTCCCACCTGTCTGCCCCACCCATCCCACTGATCAATTCCCACCACTCCCTACCTGCATTCACCTATCACCATCCCACCTACCTTCCCTGTCTTTCTCTTTATTTCTGAGCTCCCTTCCGCCTCCCCACTTCTGAAGAAGGGTCCTGACCTGAAATGTCAATTTTCCTGCTCCTTTGCTGCCTGGCCTGCTATGTTCCTCCAGCTCCACACTGTTGATTCTATTCTTGTTTTTTTGTTACATGTGAGCTCTCCATTGGGAGCAGCTGGTTATATTGGTGGGATAGTGGTGGAGTTTTGGTCTGGAGAGTTAGATTGGGTAAGCGCCTTTTTAATGTTTTGCTGCTGACTCCTCTCATCATGAAACTTTGAGCACCTTTTATAGTTGGGTGAAACTAGATGCACTATAGACAAGGCAGAGCCTCGACTCCCAGTTGCATTGAATCACTGAGAATAGTACAGAACAGCTTATGTGGAGCTTTTTCTCTCATATTTGTCCCCCTATGTAAATGTGACAAATGTGAAAACAGTCTCTCTGTTGGCGAACAAAATATTTTCGAATATAGAAAGAAACACAGAAAGAGGCTGTTTGATTCATCATGTCTGTGCTGACCGTCAATCTGGTCTAATGCTACTATCCAGCTTTCTTTCAATAGCCCTGTATGTTACAGCACTTCAAATGTGTATCCAAATGTTATTTAAATGTAATGAGGCTCTCTACCTCTAGCACCCTTTCAGACAGTGAGTTCTAGCCCTTCCACCCTCCAGCGTGAAAAAGGTACTCCTTTTCTTGCCTCTAATCAACCATAATTGTGCTGAATGGAGAAGCAGGCTTGCAGGGAGCAATGGGCCCCCTCCTGCTCCTAACTCTTATGTTCACACAAAGGAGTCCAGGGATTTATTGGCAGACTGGAAAGAGGAATTGAGACAACAACTAGTTCAACCATGATGTTGTTAATTAATGGAGCAGGGTTGATGGGCTGAATCACCTACTCCTAAGTCCTATGTCCTTAAATAAAAACAGTGTTAGAGAAATTCATTATGTCTGGCAGTATCTGCGGTCAGAGAAACAATCATGTTTTGAGTTCAGCATAACTTTGGAACTGAAAGGAGGTGGAAATCTGATGGACTTAGTGCTTTTGGAGAATGGGGGAAGGTCATGTGGAACGAAGAAAGGTGTGTTGTATAAAGTAGTGATTCTCAACTGGTGTGCTGCGACATGGTGAGGAGTGTGCCATGAAAATTCCAGGAAGCAGCACTGCGAGGTTGTATCCATGATTCCGATCTCCTCTGCTGCCTCAGCGTCTATTAATGAAGGCAGTACCTGCTGACACCAGGCACCTCTCTAGACTGAACATATGCAAGTCTCCAGTGCTGCGCATGCGTAGACTTCAATACTGCACATGAAAAAATGTGATGTGTGGTGGAGTTGTTTGCTTCATTGATACTGAGAGGGTTGGGAGATATTTGTATAAGGTAATTGCAGTGATTGGAACAATATTAGCGAGGTGGATTTCATAGAATGAGTTCCCTGAATGATGCTGTTAACCTGGCCCAAACAGGGAGTCCTGGCTGACAGATATAAGCAGGAGTGTCGGCGGTCCTGCTCACTCCAGGAGCCAGCTCTGTACTAGCTAGCTCTGCGTTTTGGACTATGCGTATGTAAATAAAGGGTGACTTAGTGACGGAATACCAGCCTACCTGGAGTTATTTCAGCAGTGGTTCTGACGGGCTCAATATTTGCAAAAGATGGTAGTGGTTGGCATTGTTCCACATACAACCAGAAGGTCAGTGAAAGGGGAAGAGAGAGATTAGAGATCCAAGGCTAAACAAGCAATAATAGTTGCTTTTCAATAAAAGCTCATAATAGATGTTAATAAAAGAATAAATGTCAAGTGAAATAAGCAAGATACGGTTACTTATGAAGAGTTATCAAAATGGAAGACAAAGCCCATGATTGTTGTTGTTGAACTCAATTTTGAGTCCAAAAGGCTGTGAAGTACCTGATCAGAAAATGTGTCATAGACTTTATGCAAAAATTATCTGAAATGGTTTGTTCTGAACCAATGAAAAGTTTGACTTTAAACTAGATAGAACATGAGAAAAAACGAGCACAGAATATAAAGACAGATAGGAAAAGTTTCTATAAATATATAAAACGAAAAAGAGTGGCTAAAGTCAACGTTGGCCCTTTAGAGCATGAGAAGGGGAATTTAGTTATGGGATATGATGAAATGGCCGAGGCATTGAATGGGCATTTTGTATCGGTCTTCACAGTGGAGGACACTATTAACATGCCAGTAATAGACAAAGAGACGAAGGTAAGTGAGGACCTGGAAACAATCATTATTACGGAAGAGATAGTGTTGGGCAAGCTAATGGAGCTAAGGATTGATAAGTCTTCTGGCCCTGATGGAATGTATCCCAGGGTACTAAAAGAGATGGCGGAAGAAATAGCAGGTGCACTGGCGGTAATTTTCCAAAATTCGGTGGACTCTGGGGCAGTGCCAGCAGATTGGAAAACAGCAAATGTGACGCCACTGTTTAAAAAGGGAAGTAGACAAAAGATGGGGAATTATAGACCAGTTGGCTTAACCTGTGCAGTGGCGAAGATGCTTGAGTCTATTATCAAGGAAGAAATAGCAAGGCATCTTGATAGAAATTGTCCCGTTGGGCAGACGCAGCATGGGTTCATGAAGGGCAGGTCATGCTTGACAAATCTTTTGGAATTCTATGAAGACATTACGAGCGAGGTGGACAATGGGGACCCAGCGGATGTGGTGTACCTAGACTTCCAAAAGGCCTTTGACAAGGTGCCGCACAAGAGGCTACTGCATAAGATAAGGATGCATGGCATTAAGGGTAAGGTATTAGCATGGATAGAGGATTGGTTGACTAACAGGAAGCAAAGAGTGGGGATAAATGAGTGCTATTCTAGCTGGCAGTCAGTGACTAGTGGTGTGCCTCAGGGATCGGTGTTGGGACCGCAATTATTTACAATTTATATAGATGATTTGGAGTTGGGGACCACGTATAGGGTGTCAAAGTTTGCAGATGACACTAAGATGAGTGGCAGAGCAAAGTGTGCAGAGGACTGTGAAACTTTGCAGAGGAACATAGATACATTGAGTGAGTGGGCAAAGGTCTGGCAGATGGAATACAATGTAAATAAATGTGAAGTCATACGTTTTGGTAGGAGTAATAGTAAAAAGGATTATTACTTGAATGGTAAAAAGTTGCAGCATGCTGCTATGCAGAGGGACCTGGGTGTCCTTGTGCCTGAATCTCAGAAGGTAGGTCTGCAGGTACAACAAGTAATTAGGAAGGCAAATGGAATTTTGTCCTTCATTGCTAAAGGGATTGAGATTAAAAGCAGAGAGGTTATGTTGCAGCTGTACAAGGTGCTGGTGAGGCCACACCTGGAGTACTGTGTGCAGTTTTGGTCTCCTTACTTGAGAAAGGATGTACTGGCACTGGAGGGGGTGCAAAGGAGGTTCACTAAGTTGATTCCGGAGTTGAGGGGGTTGGCTTATGAGGAGAGACTGAGTAGATTGGGATTATATTCATTGGAATTCAGAAGATTGAGGGGGGGGGATCTTATAGAAACATATAAAATTATGAAGGGAATAGATAAGATAGAAGTAGAGAGGATGTTTCCACTGGCAGGTGAAGCTAGGACAAGAGGGCATAGCCTCAAGATTAGAGGGAGCAGATTTAGGAGTGAACTGAGAAGGAATTTCTTCACCAGAGGGTTGTTAATGTATGGAATTCCTTGCCCAGTGAAGTAGTTGACGCTACTTCAGTAAACGCTTTTCTTAAAAAAAAAAAAAAAAAAAGGTAGGTTTTTTTTAACAATAAAGGAATTAAGGGATACGGTGAGAACGCGGGTAAGTGGATCTGAGTCCACGAAAGGATCAGCCATGATCTTATTGAATGGCGGAGCAGGCTCGAAGGGCCGGACGGCCTACTCCTGCTCCTAGTTCTTATGTTCTTAACATTTCATTTTACTTTGACACATTTCTAGTGCATAGCTTAATCAGAGGCTGCACTGATGATGTTACCCAGCAGGGTAATGAAACGTCTGCAGAGCAATGAACCAGCTCGGCGAGCCAACCAACCACAACCCGAGCTACAAATCTACTCCAAACCTTAGAGGATTGTGATCTATATCTTGAAGACAATGACTTCATAACAGTGTGATTGCGGGCCAGTTTTTATTTGTGGCATAGAGAAT